AGCAAAGGCTTCATGACAACAGAAAGTCCTGACAAAGGACTGAAAGAAGACCCACACGGTTGGGGCTGCAGAAGTATAGAGAAAGATTAGATTGGGAAGGTGGGTAAGATATGGCCACTAAAAAGTTTCAAGCAGGGGGAATGTGAGACTCAAATGTGCGCTTTGAAAAAAACAAAACACACAGACTCAGACTGCAGTATGGAGAATGGGACTGGAATGTTACAAAGGCTTGAGAGCAGCTGCTAACTGCCTGGAGTACCCATGGGGAGACATGCAGTTGATAAGATTACTCAGAGCAGCATCTTATCTGTGTGTGCGTTTTAATGTAATTTTTGAAGTAAATGAATACACACAAATAGTTTAAAATATCAAATAGTGCTAATATTATTTGGTTAACAAAAAATAGCGGTCCCCTGACCATCCCACCCCACCCCTTGACCCTTCTGATCCCTTCTTCCACTCTTAACTATTCATCTAGTAGTCCCTCCTCCCCTCCTTCTGCTTTTTAAAAACATACTATGCTTAGAGTACTATTTATTTTTCACTTTTAGACATTGTTTACTTCCTACTAAGGAAGAAATGAATTTTGCGATCTTACTCGCTCCCTGTTCCTCCCTCTCCCCCCCGCCGCCCACCCCCCGCTCTATTCTTATCCTGCCAAGAGGGAACATTCAAAGCATTACCAGCGCTTCCTTTTTAGTCTTCCCATGTAAGAAAAATGCTGACTCATTCATTACCTGAAAAATCCATCAATCAGTAAGGACAGAACCAGCACATTTCATGATAAATTTATACCTTTGCTAGTAAAAAAGTACCTTCACTGTACGTCTGTCATGGACATATTTGAAGCAAGGATTTTTACCCTTAAAGTAAAAACTACCAAATTTTTAAGTTGGCATAAGAATATTCAAGGAAATCACAATACGTCCTACTTGCAAGACATAACAAAGTTATTTGCACTGGGAGGTGAAAATAATCTTCATAGGACTAATGTCTTGGGGAAGAAGAGTTAGCAAGGTCATGAGCTCATGATACTCCATATCATCTCCAGATAGAATACCGAGACAGGCCACTCCTATTCACTGCTGCTAGGAGTGTAAAAGAGCAGGGAAACCAGTGGGCAATTCCTACGCAGAACCTCCAAAAAGAAGTCAGATTTTCACCCTCAGATAAATCAATTCTAAGGAACGAAATACTCAGAGATAAAGATTTATGCATAAGAATATTCGTGATAGTATTATTTATAATAATGGAAAACAATCTCACTGCCTCCAAACAAAAAAATGGTTAAATGATACTGTATCTACAGAATGCAATAATAGAAAATCATTAAATTCATGCTTTCAGAGAACACTTAATGCCGTGGGGAAATGCTCATATATGCTAAATGAGAAAAACAGTTGAGGTCAGCCTACATGTAAAAATATACATGTGTACATGTGTATAATGTACATATACACAAACATAGGTAGAAGCATATACAAAATATCTAAACATACACAAAACTTTAAAAATGCATAGAATACACAGTTTCTTTCTCCCAATATGGTCTGTCACTCATATACCTCAGAATCACCTTGGAGGCTTATTAAAAATGCAGATTCTTGGGTATTACCCCAGACCTAGTGAATTAAGTCTTTGAAAGCAGAGCCTAAGGATCTCTGTCTACCTACACACCCTGAGTAATTCTCACTCACTCCTCAGTTTGGGGACCACTGGATCAGAAATAACAGCTCTCTATGGGTAAAGGAATTATGAACACTTGTCTTCTTTTATTGAATGTTAAAAAAATTCTCAGGCCGGGCACAGTGGCTCACGCCTGTAATCCCAGCACTTTGGGAGGCCAAGGCAGGAGGATCACGAGGTCAGGAGATCGAGACCCTCCTGGCTAACAAGGTGAAACCCCATCTCTACTAAAAATATAAAAAATTAGTCGGGCGTGGAAGTGGGCGCCTGTAGTCCCAGCTACTTGGGAGGCTGAGGCAGAAGAATGGCGTGAACCTGGGAGGCAGAGGTTGCAGTGAGCCGAGATCGCACCACTGCACTCCAGCCTCGACAGAGCGAGACTCCATCTCAAAAAAAAAAAAAAAAAAATTCTGTACCAAGCATATGCTGCTTTTATAATTCAAAGTTCATTAAAAGTGCATTAATGAGGCATGAGTATTAAACAGAGCTGATTTAAGGTCTATTTGGGAAAGTGTAAACAACTTTGGAGAATTAAAACGTGCACTTTTTTCTTAAGACTGTCTTGCTCTTTTGCCCACACAGTGCAGTGGTGTGATCTCGGCTCACTACAACCTCCTCTCCTAGGTTCAAACGATTCTCCTGCCTCAGCCTCCAGAGTAGCTGGGATTACAGACACCAGCCAGCACGCCCAGCTAATTTTTGTAGAGATGGGGTTTCACCATGTTGGCCAGGCTGGTCTTGAACTCCTGACGTCAAGTGATCCGCCCACCTTGGCCTCCCAAAGTGCTGGGATTACAGGTGAACCATGGTGCCTGGCTGCAAGTGTACATTTTTAAAATCTAAAATACAGGGCCAGACTCTGTCTCAAAAAAAAAATAGTAATAATAATAAATCTAAAATAAGTAGGTATCTATGGATTCCTCACAATTGACTCAGTTTAGGACAAAGGAAGTAATATATTAAGTTTAGACATGGAAATCATTCCTCAATAAATTGTGCAGGTAAAAAATATAAATAGAATAATTTTGCGACATATGGAGAATGGCTTTTCTAAAGTTCTAAAGTTCCAACATCTTCCTTGGCAAAAAGAGGATTCAGTAATCAAGTAAATTTGGGGCACAATGCATATTATGGTCACCCTCCCCACTTAAAAGTCAAATCCTTGGGTAGATTACAGGTTCTGAGAAGTCTAATATAAACTTTCTTAATTCTAGCTACACAAATTCTTAGAATGTCCCTATCATTGAAAACAAATTTTAGCCCAGAAGAGGGTCTAGAAAAAGTTATCATCATGGACTGATACTCTACACTTGACCCAACATATCGTTTCCACATTCCCATGGCCTCTGAGGGCTTAGCCCATACGTATTTATAGAGCCTGATTCTAAGAGCATGGCTCAAGTCAGCTACCAAGTAATGTTCAGGAACAGCAAAATTCGAGTGCCCAGGCTACAAGATTAGAACATGTGAAGCAACTACAGATTTACTTTTATCTACTGGTCTCTTTCACTAGGCTGTGTGCTTAGGGCTGGAATTTTGCCACTTGTCTATTCATTTATGTACTACCAATACAATAAAGTCTGGCACTTATTTAGTACTCAGTGAATGAGGCACCACCAAACCGGTGGTTTAAATTCTTTCTGGTAAGTTCTGCAATGAAATGGGCTAGTTTCATTACTGAACTTAAACCATTTCTGAGTACTTACTATAAGTAGGCATTTCTTTTTTTTTTTGGCAGGGGGTGGAATGCAGTGACGTGATCTCAGCTCACTGCAACCTCCACTTCCTGGGTTCAAGCAATTCTCGTGCCTCAGCCTCCCGAGTAGCTGGGATTACAGATGTGCACCACCACGCCTAGCTAATTTTTGTAATTTTAGTAGAGACGGGGTTTAGCCACGTTGCCCAGGCTGGTCTCAAACTCCTGGCCTCAAGCAATCCATCCACCTCGGCCTCCCTAAGTGTTGGGATTACAGGTGTGAGCCACTGCTCCCAGCCAAGATGGAGTCTTGCCATATCGCTATGGACTTAAACCCCTAGGCTCAAGTGATCCGCCCACCTCAGCCTCCTGAGTAGCTGGGACTACAGGCACACACCACTGCACTCAGCTCTAGGTAGGCATTTCTAAGGATGTGGCGGTGACTAAGACATAATCTCTATCTTCAGGGGCTTCGTGCATTAGAGATACTCATCTAAGCCATTCTAGTCCTAGAGCCATTCTAGTCCTAGCCTCTTGCACAAGTTTGGGTACATATTAAATGTCTAATGTTTATTTGAATTGAATTTAGAAACCATGACATGCTTTATGCATGATCAAAATTTGGCATTTTCTGGGGGCAGAGTCTACAGTAAGGCAGACCATTCTAAAGACTACATCAGGATGATCACATCTTAAGTAGCCAGACCTATCTTGATCATTGCTTTTTTCTTTTCTTTTCTTTTCTTTTTTTTTTTTGAGAGAGGGTCTTGCTCTGTTGCTCAGGCTGGAGTACGATAGCATGATCATGGCTTACTGCAGCCTCAACCTCCCCAGGCTCCCACCTTGGCCTCCTGAGTAGCTGGGACCACAGGCACACCACCATGCCTGGCTAAGTTTTGTATTTTTTGTAATGATGGGGTTTCACCATTTGCGCAGGCTGGTCTGTAACTCCTGGGCTCAAGCAATCCGCCTGCCTCCGAGTGCTGGGATTACAGGCACGAACCACTGCCCCCAGCCGATCATCACCACTTTGGAGTCTCCACAACTAGCCAGGAGTCAAAAATTTTGGCCAGAGAAGCCCCAGAACCCAGAGGAATCGAACAGTAAGTACTACAACAGTGTTTCTAAATATGTGTGCTGTAAAGCTCTCCAGGTTCCTGAGATGTTAATTGGTAGTACCTGGTGAAATAGGACTGAGAAAGGGGTTCAGTAGAGCTGACAGGCCTCTGTACTGCAGGATTTCTCAACACATTTAAGCAATGTGCTATGCCCCTTATATATGTTGTCTTGTTTAATAATCTATGACATGGGTCTTACTGTTTTTCCCATTTTTGAAATTAACAAGCTGAAGAAATTCGGAGAGTGAGTTACCTGCTCCAGACCACACAGAGGTACCACCATAAGTCACAGAACGGGACTGTAGGATCAGGTCTTTCTGGCATCCAACACTGGTTTATGATCATTTGAAGCAATACTGTTTTTAACATGTTGATGGGCACTACACCACTCCTAGAAGGGCAGACAGCAATAAAGTGCTTCCCAAACTGATTTGACTGAGGAGCCCCTTTGAGTGATCAGCACTCAAGTCTAGCCATGGAGCATGTTTTAAGAAACATCGTTGGGCAAATAATGTTTATTAATAGGGACACATAAATGAAACCTTAGTTTAATAGATAAGCATTTTTTACCTCCAGGGTCATAAGCTTCACTTGATGGCTCATTTCTTTTGAATGTTATTTGGTATGACATTGCAATTCTAACATATTCACTCTTTTGGATTTGACTTACCTAGTAATTTGACTCATTATGTCACTAATTTTGGTAAACTATATTCACATCAAGAGTATAAACTTTAACTTGCTGCGTATCTCAATGGGTCTGCAATTTGCATTTCAGGGTGAGATGATTCTTTATTGTACATTACTGACCAAAACTTTGCAGGACATCTAGCATCCCTGATCCCTGCTGACTAAATACCAGTAGCAGTAGTACCACCATTACCACCACTACCACCACCACCACCACCCACCCCCACCATACTCAGTCACTGTGACAAGAAAACATCCCCATAATTTCAAACCTGCTTCCAGAGGAGCAGTGTCACCCAAGCTGAGAACTATGGGTTAAGAGACAAACAGAAAGTTCAATAAAATGTGAAAATAAACACCTAGCCAAACCCTGCATTCAGTATTCCAGCAAAGCTATGGTCATGCTATCGTCAATCCTGCGTGTCCAGCGTTTCATGACATTTCTCCTTATTCTGTTAATAACACAAACAGATTCAATACAAACTGCCAAAATACCATTTTTAGCCACGAGGGCTGAGTCCTGTGCTCTTTGCCAATAGCAGCAATAAAGCTGGGCAGAAGCTAAACCCAGGACTGCATGGAATATTGGCTATCTGTGGTAGCAGCACAAAATGAGACGTATACCTGAATAGTCTATCATTTTGTCAAATCTGGACTTTAAAAAGGATGCTGGGGTTTTTTTTCTCTTAAAAAGATTTATTATCAAAAAGCTTGCTCCCTTTAAATACTGAGCCAATTCATCAATGCAGCTCCATTCTTTTTAGGATTATTAAGACCCAAATAATCTCAGACTAAAACAAGAAATAAAAAACTGGACTGTAGGTTCAGTAACATATTCACAGACATGTCAGTATGCACCCAGGAACACTGGTTTCATTTCTTGATGGGAATGCTTATCACCATAAAATCTTCTGCTAGAGTCACTTCTTGGAGATCTAACACTGATTCAGCTTGCTTTTTTAGTTCTGCAATGCCATCTGTTTCTCCTTCTCTGGCCAAGGCAACTGGTTTGTACCTCTGACTGAAGTGAGTCAGAACCAGCCTCTTTGCACGGCACAACTTTGCAAATGTGGCTGCCATCTGTGGTGTGCTGTGGCCGTGCTCCTTTGCTTTGTCCATCTGGGCATCATCCAGGGTCGCTTCGTGAATCAACAGGTCTGCTTCAAAACACAGCTTTACTCCTCCATCACCCACAACCCCAGAGCAGTCACCCAATATGCAGATTTTTCTTCCAACAATAGGCTTTTTTAAGACATCTTGGGGAGAAATTGTAACCCCATTTTCCAGAACAACAGAAATTCCATTTTTCAGCTTCCCATAGGCAGGACCTGGTGGAACACCTAATGATGAAGGCAGATAACATTACATTATAGGAATGGAATTTATGACTTTTCAAGAGTCTATTTTAACAGCATTGCAAATAGCTAATGGAAAAGGCATCCATAATTGTTATAAATGTTTTACTACTTGTGGAAAACTGGAATTATTTATACATTTTAAAAGTTTCAGTGTTGATTGATATTAGCAATGCCTTAGTACTTAAAACATTTCCCATGCATACATGTCAAACAAGTTTTAGTCTCCTAAGTATCACTAGGACCTTATTGTAGTCACTATAACATCCTTGATTCTCTGTTGTGCAAGGAAACAACAGTTTTTGAGAGTGCTTTATTTAATAAACTCACTTTTGGGTAAAATTTGAGAGTACATTTAAATAATGATATAATCAGGCTGGGCGCAGTGGCTCATGCCTGTAATCCTAGCACTTTGTGAGGCCAAGGCAGGCAGATCACTTGAGCTCAGGAGTTCGAGACCAGCCTGGTCACATGGGGAGACCTTGCCTCTACTAAAAATACAAAAAATTAGCCAGGCGTAGTGGTGCACACCTGTAGTCCCAGCTACATGGGAGGCAAAGGCACGAGAATTGCTTTAACCCAGGGGGCAGAAGTTGCAGTGAGCGAGCTGAGATCACACCACTGCACTCCAGCCTGGACAACAGAGTAAGACTGCCGCAAAAACAAAACAAAACAAAACCAAAAAAACATGATATAATCAACACCTCGTCAAAACAAGTACCTACAAAGTAACTTAATAAAAAAATTGTTAGTGAAGATTGCTTGTATTACAAGATCAAGGAGCATTTTTTCAGGCAATTGTACATTATTAATCTTGGTAGACGGGCAGTTCCACACTTAATCAAAGTGGGCTTAAATCTCATACTAATTTAAAATAAGACCTGATCATCACTATGGACAATACTTACAAACTAGTATAACATGACCACCAATTCCAACACAGATCATGTTTAAAGTTTCCAAATATAATAGTATTTCTACAGGCTTTCAGGTAATAAAAATACCATTAACCTAAGTCACTTTTCCTCATTATCTAGCATTTTGTTTTAGTTGAGGAAGAGATCACATAAATAAAAAAACAAGCACACACAAAATGCCACCGTGCTTTTTACAGGCACTGCCACACCATGCCCATGAAGGCAGTGACACTGGAGATATAATGTACCTGGACTCTACCTCGCAAGAGGTGCTGAAGATCCCTTCATGCATACTGGCTTAGCATGGAGGAGGTGTGAAGCCTTAGATGGGCCCCAAGCCCACCTCTGCATGCTTGCTTTCCACTGTAATGAACCCTGGTATATCAAACTGGTTGAGGCACAGGGTTTTGAATACCAAATTAATTTAATGAAGGTTAAATTAGTAAGCAAAGTAGATAGAGAAGGAAACTCTGAAAGCACATGGTTGCAGTTGTAAGGTTAAGATCAATGGCAAAAATTCTCAGACCAAAGATGTCATCAAAAACACATATCAAAGGGAAGACGTGAAAAAATAAAGCCTGGACCTAAAGCCACCACCACTATCACCCAAATCACCTTGCCAACCAAGATAGTATAAGAAAGAATGTGGATCCAGGGAGCTGAAGACAGGATTCAAATGTATACTTGGCTTTTGTTCTAAATAGCATTTTTTGGTCCCATGGATTTTCCTTAATAAGCAAACTTTGGGCAAACAGACTAAGTGGAGAAAATGTCAGTTTTAGGCCTGGGATAGAGGAGTGGAAGTTTACTATGACACTTTTTTTTTTTTTTTGAGACAGAGTCTCACTTTGTCACCCAAGCTGGAGTATAGTAGCTCCATCTTGGCTCACTGCAGCCTTGACCTCCCGGGTTCAAGTGATCCTCCTGCTTCAGCCCCCCAAGTAGCTGGGACTACAGGCACATGCCACCACGCTCAGTTAAGTTTTTTATTTTTAGTAGAGATGGGGTTTCGTCATGTTGCCAAGGCTGGTCTTGAACTCCTGAACTCAAGTGATCCGCCCGCCTCGGCTTCCCAAAGTGCTAGGATTACAGGCATGAGCCACCACTCCTGGCCTTACTACGACACTTCTTATAGCTTCAGTTAACGGGAGCCCTATTGATGAGAAGGGGGGAAAAAGCAAAAAAAACAAAAAAAAGACACTTACCAAGGTCTTTTAGTTTCTGTGCATTGAGTTTACCTGGGCGTTTCTTTTCCATGACTGAAAACCCAAATGAGGGAATTCTGTGAAAGAGGCGAAATGCTTTTACAACAAACTGTTCATCATCAAACAGAAGGTACGAGTTTTCTTCTGAGTCTAATAGGATAGTTCTTCCTTGTTCCTCTTTGGGAGGACTGCCTGCTCTATTCACATGTGCAAATTCTTTTAATTCTTCTGCAGGACATTGATCCGCTGTAGGAACCAGTTCATGAACCACATAACGGAAGATCAGCTCCGTGTGAGAGAGTTCCATGGTTCGCCAGATAAAGTCCCGAAGCCCTACAGGGCCATAGATTTCAATAGGCTGTTTGGACACCATGGAGCCACTCTGCAGGCTGATTGTGCAGAGGAGCCCAGGAAGGCCAAAGAAATGGTCTCCATGAAGATGTGTGATGAAGATCTTGGTAATTCTCCCTTTTGATGGAGATAGAGAAATACATTTGGAAATTTTTCATTAACTAAAAACCCATACAAAGCTATTTGAAACAAGCCTAACACTTTCCATTAAAAATAGTAAATTGAATTTAAAAGTTCTACTTACCATCATAAACTTATTCATTTACATTTTGCTACATGATTCCAAAAACAAGAAAGACAGGCTTTATTTCATCAGATGGTTGTTTGTTTGTTTGTTTGTTTTTAATAGTTTTTTTAAAGAGACAGGTCTCGCTCTGTCATCCAGGCTGGAGTGTAGTGGTGTGATCATAGCTCACTGCAGCTTGACCTCCTGGGCTCAAGTGATCCTACTGCCTCAGCCTCCCAAGTAGCTAAGACTACAGGAGCCTACCACTATGTCTGGCTTTTTCTTTTTTTTTAATTTTGTAGAGATGGGGTCTTGCTATGTTGCCCAGGCTGGTCTCAAACTCCTGGCCTTAAGCAATTCTCCCATCTTGGCCTCCCAAAGTGCTGGGATTACTGTGCCTAGCCCCGCTAGATGGTTTCAGTAAGATATAACATTTTTCATAAAACATCTTCATATTACATAGTTTTACAGCTCTCAGAGTATTTTCATACATTTTCTGCCACACAAAAAAAACAAGTAAAATATATAAGTGTACCAAAATAATTCACTTAACTATTAAATAGATAGGCCTCAAGTATCAAAAACATCTAGCAATTACATTGCTCCCTACTGCTCCCTCTGAGAAAAGCAAACATGTATTCCAGGAAAACAAAATGTTCCACTGGCTCCAACTGACTGGACCAGTGCCTGAACCCAAAATTGCCTTTTAAGGACTCCCTATGCTGGACAGGGATTAACCAATCAGGTCACAGCCTGCTTGTCTGGGTGAGGTTGAAGAAGATGGAGAAAAAGGAAGGAGGGTGAGGAAGGGAGGGGAAAAGGAGGAGGGAGAATGGAGGTAGGAGAGGAACAAGGTGAGGAACTGAGAAGGAAGATGGGCAACAGATGCCAGATTGCAGGAGGGCCGATTATGTAAGGGTACTTGGGTCCATTCTTCCTTTCAGTCTGAACTAACACAACAGTTTTTTCAGTGCATATGGGCTTAGGTTATAACTTGGTTTAGCCAATGGTAAACCGAATTTATTGCTGGAATGTGGCAGTATGCCACATCAGCATTTTCTGAGATGCACCACATGGCATTTCAAAAGTAACAACCACAATTTACACATTTCTAGTACAAAAGAGGCTTCTGGTCCTTTGCTCAAGGCCCACCTATTTTAAATATTTGATGCTATAAAAGTACAGAAACAGTTTACTGATACTATAAAAGAACAGGAATAGTTTACTATAATGTGATTTGTTCCATAATATCAAGTGTTCTCCAAGGAAGCCTTCCCAGAATTACAACATCAAGCTCAGGCCCCAGCAACAGAGAGAACAATAGATTGGCACAGGCTGATTGTAGAACTTGTGAATCCCCAGGAGGCACGCTAGAAGTTTCCTCAATATGCTCCTTTTTGCTGTTTTTTTTTACTGCCTGAATCCCTCATTTCCCCAATCTCCCTGTCCAGATTGCCAAGCCACCTCCATGCGTGACCTGAGGACTCTGCAGACAAAATAACTATAGCAATAGGGCCAGGCGCGGTGGGTCATGCCTGTAATCACACTTTGGGAGGCCAAGGTGGGCGGATCACCTGAGGTCGGGAGTTTGATCAGGCGGATCAGCCTGATCAACATGGAGAAACCCTGTCTCTACTAAAAATACACAATTAGCTGGGTGTGATGGCGCATGCCTGTAATCCCAGCTACTTGGGTGGCTAAGGCAGGAGAATCGCTTGAACCCAGGAGGTGGAGGTTGTGGTGAGCCGAGATCACGCCATTGCACTCCAGCCTAGGCAATAAGAGCTAAACTCCATCTTAAAAAAAAAAAAAAAGAACTACAGCAGTCACTGAGTCCAGATCCCCCAGTGGCCTAAAAACTGCCAGCATCTGACTTTCTGGGCCCTTTCCCTATCTACCCTAAAACAAAGCCAAACTGAACACCAAAACAACCTGTGAACCCGAAGTGAGGCAAATTAAGTAAAAAACTGCTTCTTACAGTTATCATAGTTTCAGGGAGACAAACACTTCATTTTTCAAGAAACCTGATTTCAAAGGGAGAAGGAATGGCAACCACAATTATCAAAGGTATGAGGAAGCTCTCAAATGAAGACACAAAAATGCCTGAGTTCCCTTTCCCTTGGAAACAAGGAAGTTATGGGGGAATATGTCATCTACAGAGGAGTGGAATACTGAGCATTCTCTAAAAATAAAGACATAGGTATATTTACTGGATTTGGAAAAGCTGCAATATATGGTTTGTATACATTGTTCAGTTGAAAAAAAAAGCAGGTTATGCCAAGAGCAGTATAATTCTATGTATGCAGAACTATACACACACACACACACACACACACTCCGTACTGTCACCATATCTATATACATAGGAAATTCACCTATGGGGGGACTCGGACTTTTCTTATTTACACTTTTCTGTTTTGAGTTTTTACAATAAGCATTTATACTTTTTATATCATTTAAAAAATCATGCTCTTACAGTACTTTTTTCTTTTCTTTTCTTTTTTTTTTTTTTTTTGAGACAGAGTCTTGCTCTGTCACCCAGGCAGGAGTGCAGTGGCTCGATCTCTACTCACTGCAACCTCCAACTCCCAGGCTCTGGCGATTCTCCTGCCTCAGCCTCCTGAGTAGCTGGGATTACAGGCGTCCGCCACCATGCCCGGCTAATTTTTGTATTTTTAGTAGAGACGGTGTTTCACCATGTTCGAGGAGGTCACCTCAAACTCCCGACCTCAGGTGATCCGCTTACTTCGGCCTCCCAAAGTGCTAGGATTACAGGCGTGAGCCACCGCGCCTGGCCTATAATACTTTTAATAATCATTTCATATGTACACATGAGTATAGGGTATAGAATAATATACATGGAAGACTTGGAGGAGTGGGAGGGTGGCTGGAGGATGAAGGATGATTAGTTACCTGATGGGTGCAATGTACATTATTTGGTGATGGGTACACTAAATCCCAGACTTCACCACTATGTAATATATCCATGTAACAAAACTGCAATTGTATTCAAAACTTATTAACCCTGGAGGGTAGTACAAGCTGAAAGGGTTTCAACCTATTATGGACCTAATGATAGGACCCAATGATAGGTCCGTAATAGGTTATGGAGAGAAATTAGTATGTACTGAGGGTGCTTCATTCCAGTTTGAGACTGGGGGCATCTGAATGAAGTACTAGAGAGTCACAGTTAATGCTCTGGGATTACTATCTCACCTTCCTCTCTAAGGCCAGAAAGTTTTCTTTTTTTTTCTTTTGAGATGGAGTCTCGCTCTGTCGCCCAGGCTGGAGTGCAGTGACGTGATCTCGGCTCACCACAACTTCTGCCTCCCAGGTTCAAGCAATTCTCCTGCCTCAGCCTCCCAAGTAGCTGGGATTACAGGCACCTGCCACCACACCCTGCTAATTTTTATATTTTCAGTAGAGATGGGGTTTCACCTTGTTGGCCAGGCTGGTCTCAAACTCCTGACCTCACTCGTGATCCACCTGCTTTGGCCTCCCAAAGTGCTGGGATTACAGGTGTGGGCCACCACTCCTGGCCTCAGAAATTTTTTTTTCTAAGCCTATAGAAATGTAGTAAACTAAAGGCTCCTTTGGGCTTTTGGGGTTTTTTGTTTGTTTGTTTGTTTGTTTGGGTTTTTGTGGCCAGGATTAGATTTACCAACTATATGTATGAATGCATGCATTCATGCTTATTTACTTATTTGTTGAGACAGGATCTTGCTCTGTCACCAGGCTGGAGTGCAGTGGCTCAATCATGGCTCACTGCAGCTTTGACCTTCTGGGCTCAAAGGATCCTCCCGCCTCAGCCTCCTGCTGGGACCACAGGTGCAAACCACCACATCCGGCTTTTTTATTTCTTGTAGAGACAGAGTCTCTTTATGTTGCCCAGGTTGGTCTCAAACTCCTGGCCTCAAGTGATCTTCCTGCCTTGGCCTCCCGAAGTGCTGAGATTACAGGCATGAGCCACTGTGCCCAACTCCAACTGCTTATTTAAATCCTATATAGACTGGGCGCAGTGGCTCACACCTGAATCCTAGCACTTTGGGAGGACAAGGTGGGCGGATGGCCTGAGCTCAGGAGTTTGACATCAGCCTGGGCAACATGGCAAAACCCCATCTCTACTAAAAATACAAAAAAAAAAAAAAAAAGGCAGGTGTGGTGGTGTGTGCCTATAATCTCAGCTACTCAGGAGGCTGAGGCATAAGAATCACTTGAACCCAGGAGGCAGAGGTTGTAGTGAGCCAAGATCGCACCACTACACTCCAGCCTGGGTGACAGAGCAAGACTCTGTCTCAAAAAAAAAAAAAAAAAATCATATATAAAGGAACTGTAAAATTGTGGTGGATATTTTAGGTGGTCCCTGTGGCCCCTACCCCTTGGTATTCACATCCTATAATCCCCTCTCCTTCAGTGTGGCCAGAACTTGTGACTTGCTTCTAACCAGTAGAATATGGCACAAGAATGCAATGTGATTACATTATGGGACATAAGACTCCATCTTGCTAGCAGACTTACTCTAGAGTCTCCTTCTCCCATGCTGGCTATGAAGAAGTAAGCTACCATGAAGCAGAAACCCACAATGCAGAGAACTCAAAGAGCTCAGGGCAGACTGTCCTACCACTGTATGGGTTCTGCCAACAACCTGAAAGAGCTGAGAAATCTTCCCCAGCTGGACCTCTGATGAAATTGTAACCCCAGCCAACACCTAGACTGCAGTCTACTGAGACCCTGAGGCAGAAAACCTAGCTAAGCCAGGCCCGAACTCCCTAACCCACAGTAACTAGGAGATAATAAATGCAAAAAAGCCACTAAATTTATAATGTTATGCATTATTAGATAATATCAGATAACTAACACACGTATTAAATAAAAAGATGTATTCCCACAGCCAAACCTCTGGTACTCACTCTTAACAATTTCTTGTTTCTATTTTAGTACACCTTGCCACCTCAACTCCTACTGTCTGAAATGTTATCAAGTCTCTACTCTGACCTGTGCCTGCCCGGAGGGCTCTCATGAAGGTTCTCATGAAAGGAATCTCTGTACGATCCAAGTAAAGCAAAGAATAGCACCTGACTTATCTCAAAGTTTCAACACAAGACAGTATATAATTAGGGTTCAACTGTACATACCTGAAGGCCACATGTCCCAAACAATATGCATTAGCTCCTTCCTCTAACAACTCTTTTCCTGACTTCTTCTCTAAGTCCAGGGCATCAACATCAGTAACTTGTATTAATTCTTCACTTCCTCACACACTAGACATTCAGTGACCACCTCCTCTTGGCTCTACAAATATCTCTTAAATTGAATCTCTCATCTCCATCTCTATACTTCAACATCCTCATTCTCTCTCTCTCTCTCTCTCTCTCACACACACACACACACACACACACACACACACACACACAGTGATGATATGGTTTGGCTATGTCCCCACCCAAATCTCATCTTGAATTATAGCTCCCATAGTCCCCCACATCATGGGAGGGACCTGGTGGGAAGCAAATGAATCATGGGGGCAGGTTTTCTCATGCTGTTCTCACAACAGTGAATCAGTCTCATGAGGTCTGATGGTTTGATAAAGCGCAGTTCCCCTACACATGCTCGCTTGCCTGCCACCATGTAAGACATACCTTTGCTCTGCCTTTGCCTTCCACCATGATTGTGAGGCCTCCCCAGCTATGTGGAACTGTGAGTCCATTAAACCTCTTTTTTTTTTTAATTAATAAATTAGTCTTGGGTATTTCTTCATAGCAGTATGAAAATGGCCTGATACAGTAAATTGGTATTGGTAGAGTGGGATAATGCTATAAGGATACCTGGAAATGTGGAAATGACTTTGGAACTGGGTAGCAGGCAGAGGTTGGAACAATTTGGAGTGCTCAGAAGGAGAGAGGAAAATGTGGGAAGGTTTAGAACTTCCTAAAGACTTGGGAGGGCTTAGAAGACATGAAGACGTGGAAGTTTGGAATTTCCTGTTGAATGGTTTTGACCAAAAAGCCCAGACTGAGGTGGTCTCAGATGGAGATGAGGAACTCATTGGGAACTGAAGCAAAGATGATTCTTGCTATGCTTTAGCAAAGAGGGCAGCATTGTGCCACTGCCCTAGAGATCTGTGGAACTTTGAACTTGAGAGAGATGATTTAGGGTATCTGGCAGAAGAAATTTCTAAGCAGCAAAGCATTCAAGAAGTGACTTGGGTGCTCTTAAAAGCATTCACTTTTATGTATTCACAAAGATATGGTTTGGAATTGGAACTTATGTTTAAAGGGAAGCAGAGCATAAAAGTTCAGAGAATTTGCATCTTGACGATGTGATAGAAAAGAAAATCCCATTTTATGAGGAGAAATTCAAGCTGGCTGCAGAAATTTGTGTAAGTAATGAGGAGCCAAATGTTAATCACCAAGACAATGGGGAAAATGTTGCCAGGGCATGTCAGAGGTCTTCCCAGCAGCCCCTCCCATCACATGCCCAGATGCCTAGAAGGAAAAATGGTTTCCTGGCCTGGGCCCAGGGCCTTGCTGCTTTGTGCAGTCTCAGGACTTGGTGCTCTGCGTACCAGTGTGGCTTAAAGGGGCCAAGGTATAGCTCAGGCTGTTGCTTCAGAGAGTGCAAACCCCAAGCCTTGGCAGCTTAGATGTGGTGTTGGGCCAGTGGAAGCACAGATGTCAAGAATTGAGGTTTGGGAACCTCCTTCTAGATTTCAGAGGATGTATGGAAAAAACCTGGATGTCCAGGCAGAAGTCTTCTGCAGGGGTGGAGCCCTCATGAAGAACCTCTACTAGGGCAGTGTGGAAAGGAAATATGGGGTGTGAGACTCCACGCACAGCCACTGGGACACTGCTTAGTAGAGCTGTGAGAAGAGGGCTACTATCCTTCAGAACCCAGAATAGCAGATATATTGACAGCTTGCACTGTGTGCATGGAAAAGCTGTAGACACTCAACACCAACCCATGAAAACAGCCCGGAAGTGGGCTGCACCCTGTAAAGCCACAGGAGTGGAACTGCCCAATATAATGGGAATCTACCCCTTGCATCAGCATGCCCTGGATGTGAGACATGGAGTCAAAGGAGGTCATTTCAGAGCTTTAAGATTTGACTGTCCTATTGGATTTTGGACTTGCATGGGGCCTGTAGCCCCTTTGTTTTGGCCAATTTCTCCCATTTTGAATGGGTATATTTACCCAATGCCTGTACCCCCACTGTATCTAAGAAGTAACTAACTTTCTTTTGATTTTACAGGTTCACAGGTAGAAGGGATTTGCCTTGTTTTAGATGAGACTTTGGACTGTGGACTTTTGAAGTAATGCTGAAATGAGTTAAGACTTTGGGGGACTATTGGGAAGGCATGATTGGTTTGAAATGTGAGGACATAAGGTTTTAGAGGGGTCAGGGGTGGAATGATATGGTTTACCTATGTCCCACCCAAATCTCACCTTGAATTGTAGCTCCTATAATCCCCACATGTCATGAGAGGGACCTGGTAGGAAGTAATTGAATCATGGCGGGCAGGTTCTCTCATGCTGTTCTCATGATAGTGAATAAGTCTCATGAGATCTGATGAGTTGATAAAGGGTGGTTCCCCTGCACATGCTCTCTTGCCTTCCACCATGTAAGACATGGCTTTGCTCTGTCTTCGCCTTCCACCATGATTGTGAGGCCTCCCCAGTCATGTGGAATTGCGAGTCCATTAAACCTCTTTTTTTGTTGTTTTAATAAATTACCCAGTCTTTGGTATTTCTTCATAGCAGTATGAAAATAAATTAATACAAGTGAATTGCAACTGCCTTGGAACTGGTCTCCCTGATGCTATTCTCTCTCTCCCAATACATGTGCCATCAGAAAATTCTGTCCTAAAACACAAACAAGATCGCATTATTCCCCCCTTAAAAACATGAATGGTTCCTTTTTCCCAGTAAAATAATAAAGTCTAAATATCTTACTGTGCTACAGAGGACTTCACAGTCAGCCCTCACCTTTTCAGCATTCTTAGTTCCATCTAGCCTAGCCAACTACTCAATGCTCCCCAAGTTTCCAGTTTCCTGGAAACTTCCTTACTTGTTGCTCACTTTGTTGTCTGTTCCCTCAATGTCCATCTCTACTTCTCTCTCAGAAAAACTTCTATTTATCTCTTGGATCCCAGCTCAACTGTTAACAATCTCTGGGATGCCTTCTCTTAATGAATGGTTAGTTACTTCCCCCTCCTTTGTGTTCCAAAGTACTTAGAAAATACCTCCATTATTCTACTTATCAGATTACATGATTGATTACCGTCCGTTTGCATGTCAGTTTCCATCACTAGACCAAGAGATCCTTGAACACTAGAAGTATCTTTAGTCACCAAGTGCCAGGTACTGTGATGAGTTGTAGGAATAATGATTTCAATACTATTTATCAAGACCTAATAAGTGAGAGGCACTATGCTAAGTTGCTAAAAGTCTTATCCATCTCACTAAAGTAAAGTAAGTTCCATAATCATTTACATACTTAGTAAGATGCCTAGCTGAAGAGATATAGCTAGGCACCTACTAGGTATATAAATGATCATGGAACCTACTTTACAGTATAGGGAGATAAAGAACACAGAAACAAACTAAATAACATAATTTCAGATACTGATAATGCAAAGAAGTCAATAAAAATAGGACAAAGTAAAGGAATGACTGGGGTGAGAGTCATTCCTTAATCCAGGAGGGTCTGGTAAAGCCTCTGAGAAGATGGCATTTGAGCTAAGATTTAACTGAGAAAGAGGCACCCACACAGAGAATAAGTGATTACATGTAATTCTCATAACACCCTTTCTAAGTAGACTTTTTATCCCCATTTGCAAGATGGGGAAAGTAAAGTCGAAGTTTGCTGATCTGCTAAGGTCACAAGCCCAACACACAGCCAGGACTAGAACCCAGGTCTGCCTGACTCTGAGCTGAAGCTTTTCACCATTGGACTGCTCTGTCTCCTGGGTGCTGGCCTCTGCTCACTCCATTCCCTCTGGCTGAAATGCCCCTCTTCTCCTCAGCCCTAAAATTCCTCCTCCTCCTCTGACAACCGACAAGTCAACTTCTCTGAGAAGTTTGCCCTGATAACGTCAAGAGGAAAAGAGCATCTCCCTCCTCCAAACATTTCCTACCCTTTGCATCTCTCAGGAAAACTATCTCCTGGTGGAAGTAAGTATGTACACTGCTTCCTTGCTAAAGTAGTGTCCATCTAATATGCCTGGTATATCCCATGACATTTCCCAAACCCCGAGCCTACATGAACCCTTGCTCTCAACATCCACAGGATAAATGAAAAGCAAGTAAAAAGTAAATGAAGTCCAGTGGATGTGGCCAGATGCCTGCAGGCCTTCCAAGTCTCACCAGGATCTAGCATTGAAGTGGGATGCAACCATGAGGGCTGTTTCCGAACAAAATGTCCAAAGAGAGCCAAGAAAATGAAGCAGGACAACAAAAAAATCTTAATGAGATAGCTGAAGGCACACTAACCTGCTTTAAGTTGGCTTTTCATAAGCTGTGTCTGTGTTCCCTCCCCACAGTCAAAGAGCCAGCACTCGCCTTCACACCGAAGGACCACAGCAGAGGCACCCCGGGTTGGAGATGGATATGCTGCACCCGTCCCCAGAAATGTCACATCCATAGACATCTTCCACCCTGCAACAGAAAGATCATCTGCGGATTATTTCATATCACTGCACCAAAAACACATTCCTGTAATATTTATCACTATTATTACTTTTTGGTTATTTAGAAGTCTGGATTCTTGTTCTCTCATAGTACTCCACACATATCCACAGTAAGATTTTAAATAACTTGGCAAAACTACAAGTTAACAAATCTTGTATAATTGTTCACACAAACAAACAAAAATAACCAAACCCAGGCAATTAAAAACTATAGTTGAATTTTAACTATGTGATGTTCTCAAAAAGGCAAAACTATGGAGACAGTAAAAAGAATAGCCCTTGCTAGTGATACAGGAGGAGGGAAGGAAGAATGAACAAGTGGAGCACAGGGGATGTTTAGGGCAGTGAAACGATTCTGTATGATATAGTAAGACATACATACATCATTATACATTGGTCAATTGTATACAGAATGAACAACACTAGAGTGAATGAATTCAATGTAAACTTTAGTTGACAGTGTATCAATATTGGCTCATCAACTGTACCATGTAGCACATTTTTCTTTTTTTTTTTTTCATGAGCCTTAAGCTTCTGAACATGTACCACATTAATGCAAGATGTTAGTACAAGGGAAACTGAGGGGTGAGAGATAAGAGAGTATATGGGAACTCTCTGTACTCTCTACTTATTAACTATAAAATAAAATTCCTTCTAACGAACACTAAACAACAACAACTCTAGCTGAGATACTGGGCAAGAGATGGTATTTAATGATGCCTACCAAATGGTGTCTCTGATGCCCATAATGATCAGCCCTTTCTCTAAACAATCATAACAGTGATGCTCTATGATGCTCTCCAGTCATGCTGATATTTCACAATAATGCTGAACAAATGTCTCACTCCCTACGTGACATGGTCCATGACTCACGAGGACTTGGGACTCTGCTATTTTAAGTGATCAGCAATGATCACTTGTTGAATGTGCAGGTTTATTCCAACTCCTAGCACTATTCCTTTCACTATTTCCAGGTGCATCTGACATCGCTGATATACTTATGAGATGGAAGATGTGTATCAAACAGAATAAATTAGAATGAACTGAAATTTATACATAACCGATTATAGATTATCCACATTGACGTCAGGGAAGAAAACAAGCTTAAGAAAAACTACTATAAGATAATTTGACCAACAGCTGGATATATAAGATACAAAAACTTCAATAACTCTTCTCAGTCTTAGCAATAACAAGATAAAAACAGAAATGGGGGGGGGAACCCATTCCAAGAGCAAAAACAAAATTACCAGAAATAAAGTTAGCAGAAAAGGAACAGCACCCAAAAGATTCACACAAATAAGAGATACACATTACGTCCTTGATAGGATAACCTGAAATCACAGAGATGTTCATCTTTCCTAAGCTAATGTAGATATATTTGGTGCAAATTCTATCAGATTTCCAGTGGGATTTATTTTGGAACAGAAACAATCCAAAAATCATACGGAAGAAAAAATAAATGTCTGAGAAGGGGCAAGAAAATTCCAAAACGCAGTGAGTAGTGACCTGCCTTTCTAGGTATTAACATTTACTACAGCAATCTGACATAATTAAAACAGAATAGGCCGGGCACGGTGGCTCATGACTGTAATCCCAGCACTTTGGGAGGCTGAGGTGGGTGGATCACCTGAGGTCAGGAGTTTGAGACTAGCCTGGCCAAGATGGTGAAACCCTGTCTCTACTAAAAATACAAAAATTAGACGGGCATGCTGGCACACACCTGTAATCCCATCTACTCATGAGGCTGAGGCAGGAGAATCGCTTGAATCTGGGAGGCAGCAGTTGTAATGAGTCAAGATTGTGCAATTGCACTCTCGCCTGGGTGACAGAGTGAGACTCTGTCTCAATAAATAAATAAATAAATAAAACAGAATAATATTGGCACAAAAATAGAGATAAAAGGGAAGGGAAAGTTCAGAAATAAACCAACTACCTATTGGAATCAATACAGTATACAACGAAGGTGTAAAAAGTGTGGTTTCTTTAATGAATGGGACTGACATAATTGGCTGTTCTAGCAGAAAAAAGCAAAGCAAGATGCTCACTTTGCATTGTATATAAAAACACATTTCACATAGTTAAGAAATTTCAATGTAAAAAATCCAATAACATGTTCAAAAGAATTAGGAGAATGTTTACACCTTTAACTATGGAGATGGGAAGCCCTTATTGGCAAGACATAAAATCCAGAAATTTTAAAAACAGACATTTTAACTAAATAAAATCTTGTATACATATCAAGACTCATAAAGTCAAAGGACAAGGAAAAAAAACCTGAAGAAAATAGTTTGGACCCCCTTATGAGAGGGGGTTAATGCTCCTAAAAAAAAGTTTATGCAAATGCATTCAAAATACAAAAAGACTGGTGCAACAGAAAACCAGGCAAAGGATATATATACACACACACACACACATGAATCACAGAAGAAATCCAAATGGCCTATAAGCATGAAAAAGGTTCAAACAACTATCATGTATCAATTTAAAAAATTAACAGTAATAAATAAAAGATAAGGGTTCAGTCTTCAGTTAGTTAGTGGAATGCAAAATAAAGAAAAAAGAGGCTAGGTGCAGTAGCTCATGCCTGTAATCCCAGCATTTTGGGAGGCAGTGGTGGGAGGATCGCTTGAGCCCAGGAGTTTGAGACCACCCTAGGCAACATAGTGAGACCTTGTCTCTACAAAAAAATTAAAAACAAGTATCAGCTGGACATGGAGGCATGTGCTTGTAGTACCAGCTTGTCAGGAGGCCGAGGCAGGAGGACCATTGGAACCTGGAAGGTTAAGGCTGCAGTGAGCTGTGATCTCACTGCTGCACTCAAGCCTGGGTGACAGAACAAGACAGAACAAGAACACTCTCACAACAAACAAACAAACAAAGCGACCATTTACCACACATCAGTTGGCAGGCAAGTATCAATGGAGCAATGCTAGCCAGTGCTAACCAGGATGAGGGCAAATGGGTACTGTCACAAACTAATGGTGACAAAGTTATGAATTGCGATTATGCTTTGGGAGAATAATTTGGCAATATATATTACCAGTAATAATGATGCTGTTGATAATTATATGCTTTCACCCAGCAATTCCCATTTTTCAGAATCTACCCAAATAATAAAGATCTATGTACAATTACGCATATTGTGGTGGTCTCAAGTTGGCTAAAATATAGAAGCAATCTAAATATGTCAATAGGAAAATGGCTGAATATTTTATTGTACATTTGTACTATTGTTTATTCTATCAACTATTTATTCTGCACCTAATAAAGTCTTCTGTAACTACTGTCATGGAGGGATGACAGAGAAAAGTTACAGACAGCTATGGCATGATGTCATTTTTATAACAATACCCCAAACCCCTACATTTATGTAAGACAGAGGAAGTCTGATGTGGGAGAGGATACACACCATCCTGTTAATATGTGTTATTTCAGGGGTGATTAAAGTGATGGGGTGGGGGCTGCATGGGGGATTAACTTTTCTTTTAAATCTTTGGATTATGTTTTAGTAAGTGGCATTTTATTTGATTTTTTTAAAATTTATATTTACTTAACGCTTTTTTTTTTTTTTTTTTTTTTTTTTGGAAATGTGTCATACGCCCAAACATGCTTCTCTAACTACACACCATCTAGTCTTCCTTTCCATTTTGGGAAACAGCTCCTCCCCATATTTCCTGCCCCCAACCGTCATACATAAGGTGGTGCATCTCTACCTTAAGCATAGCCTTGAGGTTATTGCTAATATCCCTTCCATGTGTTACTCTACATTTTCACCTCCAAGATCAAGTCTTCCTCTGATAATAAAGGAGCTTTATTTGCAGAGGCTTCCTTATTGATTTGCAAGATAGGTAAGAATAAATAGAATGCAGAAAGTTAATATTTGTAAAGGCAAATAAACTGCACAAGGAATAATAGAATATAATCACTTTGTCATCCCTAACAAATAATGGATTTAGATCAGTAGTACATAACCCCGGGGGCATATTAGAATCACCTGGAGAGCTTTTAAAACATATCAGTGAAGGTATGGTGGCTCATGCTTGTAAACTCAGCATTTTGGCAGGGTGGCTTGAGGCCAGGAGTTCAAGACCAGCCTGGGAAACACAGCAAGACTCTGTCTCTATAAAAAATTAGCCGGGCATGGTGGCATACACCTGTAGTCCCAAACAAAACAAAAAACCACATCAATAATTGGGCTCCATCCCAGAACATTTAGATAGGAAATTCTGCAAGTGAGACATGTTTCAGTATTAAAAAATAAAAAATAAAATAAATAAAAAGCCTTCTCCTGTGATCCTAACATGGAGTCAGATTTGAGAACCACTTAGTGAAAAGGCTAACAGAGAACTGCAATGGATGGATCAGGTTGATCTAAACTCACCAACTAATCAATCTTTTTAAAATAAGTTTTATTCTGAAAAACTTCAGACACATATAGAAGTAGAAATTAGCATAATGCAATGCCACACACCCATCATCGAACTTCAACAATTGTTAATTCATGGGCAATCATGTTTCATCTATACACACCAACCCCATTACTCCAAGAATACTTGATAAGACAAACGTGTGCTGTCTGATGGAAGCACCCCATTAGGCAGCACGCATTGTCTAGCTGTCTCTCTTTCTGATGTTAACAGCCACTAGTCATCATTGCCAGAATCCATTATTTCATTAGAGGTTGCCAAAAGGTGATAGTGTCTCATTTCTTTTGCATGTATTTGCTGGCATTCCCTGGTCAATTGTTACCCTATGATGCTAAAAGGTCCACAAAGAGGCAAGATGCTATCTAGCTCCTGGCGTGATACAATGTGAAAAACACAGTAATCCTCCATTAAGCTCTCTTGCCAAAAAATAGAACCTGACCTGAACAAGGCTGCAGGTCTAAATATCTGCTTATTAAAGGAGATGGAAAAAGCAAAATCCTGGATGTAGAAAACGTGAACCGTACAAATGACTTGTTCTTCAAGTAAAATACGGGGAACAAAATAGACACAGAGGGGAAAAGATTAAGAGAGATCTAACAGACATCAACCAAATGGAACGTGTGTAGTTTCTTCGGATACTGATTTGGACAAACCGGGGAAGAGGAGAAAGACAACTACGAAAATGTAAATGCTGACTGGATAGTAGAGGGTAAAATGAGGTGCTAATCACACTGATAATGGCTTTATGTTTTAAAAGGTGTTATTGTGTTTTATAAACATGAACAAGATAACAGATGGAACGTTACATTTCAGATTTGCTTTCAAACACTACAGTGGGGGAGAGGGTAACAGATGAAACAGGATTGATCATGAATTGGAAGTTCAGTATACTATTCAATTTTCATATATGACTTGAAGGTTTCCATAATAATTTAAAACAAATAAAATGAAAACCCTCCAAACAGGTCGGGAAATAATTAGAAATTATTTCATCAATGGTGCATGTTTTGGGACATGCACCATTCTAGGCACTAGGAATTAAATGCGAGCAAACCAGATTAGGTCCCTGTCTTCTTGGACAAAAAACAAAAACAAAAACCCAGCTGCTTGCTTTCTCAAGACTGTGATCCACATTCGGCGAAGTGCATATTCCAGTCGTGATCACAGTACTGTCATTTCACTCTGGGCCCGTGGATCTCGGTCCTGGCCACAGATCACAATTCCCCGGTGATGATGGGGCATCAGCATTTGGAGGCTTCCCAAGCGATTCTACTGGCTGCCAGGTTGAGAACCAGAGCTCCTTCGTTTTCAGACAGGCAGTGTCAACCCTGCAATCACCCTGCGTTGTGCATAGGGCAGATACCGCCGTCCTCCATCTTAGAGCTGAAAGAACCGGGGCCGGGAGGCGGAAAGTGAGAGGCCGAGGTACAGGCAGGGCCAGAGGCCAGATTTCCGCCTCTAGAGAGCTCAGGCTCCCCCATGAGACCGTGTTAGCCTCGAAAAAGGCGGGGTGGGCGGCGGCGCCGGGCAGCCGAAGCTCCGGCCCGGGGCGGTGAACGAGGCGCGTCCTCGCTCCCGGGCGCTCCCCAGGCTTAGGTCCCCGGCGCCGGGCCGGGCCTGGTCGAGCCGGCGAGTCCCGAGGAAGCGCGCCCGCCCCCCTCTGGCATGCCCACCGCACTCACCCTCGAGGCCCGCGCCAGAAGCCGAGGGAGGCGCAGGCCCGCACCCTGGCCCAACCGTCCGTGGGGCTGCAATGCGCCCGGGCGGAAGTGCGCTGCCGGCCGGGTCCCGCACGGCCGCTCTAGGATGCGAGGGAGGTCCGCGCTCGGTGGCACCCGCCTGGAGCCTGGCTCTGGGCGCGCTTCCGGGCTTCCCCTGGGCAGCGAGGGCAGTGTCTGCGTTTACCTCCTTCCCAGGTAGCTGTGTGTCAGGTGGTGACGGTCGACCTGAGGAACAGAGCGGGCTAAACCAAAAGGGAAAAAGTGACTCTTCTTTTGTTTTCCGTGTAATATCTTCCACACAGGAGTGTTCTTCCTGATGTTTTGCTCATATGTGTCGTTTTTGGTCTTTGGTTGGGATGAATCTTCACTATCTTTCATCCACTAAGATCCTTTGCCTGACCATTCACCTTCTTAAAGCCCCATCCATATTCCATTTTCCTACTCCAGGTTGGAATATTTGCTTAACATCTGAAGCTGATTGTACCGTACTCACTCCAAGCCTTGCAGACGTGTTCTCTTAGGTAGTAGACGTGGGATTGAAAACGCCCAGGATGGCCGTATACAGAACGGGCACGTGGCGATTATAGATCACAGGGAAAAACTCCTTCAGTTTGAATAACAACTTTAAAAAAAATATTTCAGTCTCCTAGGTACTGCCAGATGCACTGATTTCGTGCTCAGTATACTTGAAGTGGTCAAAATATCCAGCAGCTGGCTGGGCGCCGTGGCTCACGCCTGTAGTCTCAGCACTTTGGGAGGCCAAGGTGGGCGGATTGCCTGAGCTCAGGAGTTCGAGACCAACCTGGCCAACATGGCAAAACCTCGTCTCTACTAAAAATACAAAACAAGAAAAAAAAAAAAATATCCGGGCATAGAGGCACACGCCTGTAGTTCCAGCTACGCGGGAGGCTTAGGCACGAGAATCGCTTGAACCTGGGAGGTGGAGGTTGCGGTAAGCCAAGATCACACCACTGCCTTCCAGCCTGGGCGACAGAGCAAGACTCTGTCTAAAAAAAAAAAAAAAAAAAAAAAAAAAAAAAAAAAAAAATCCAGCGGCTTCAAAATAGGAATCGGAGTGGGGTTTTTTGAAACTACCAGGACAGAGAGACCAGCACTTGTTTAAAAATCATTAATTGATCTACTTATTGGACACTTTCAACCTTTATTCAAATATTAATGGAGCTCTGACTTTGTGGATAGTATTATTTTTGGTGCTGAGAGATTTTTAAAATTTGTCATGGTCCCTGGTTTTGGGGTTTGTTTGTTTGTTTTTGAGACAGGGTCTCACTCTATCACCGCGGTTGGAGTGCAGTGACGCGATCTCAGCTCACTGCAACCTCTGACTCCTGGGCTCAACCAGTCCTCCCACCTTGGCTTCCCAAGTATTCGTAGCTGGGACTACAGGACTACAACCTCCCAAGTAGCTGGCACTACAGGCAAGTCACCACACCCAGCTAATTTTTTTTTTTTTTTTTAAGATGGGGTTTCACTATGTTGCCCAGGCTGGTGTCAAACTCCTAAGGTCAAGCGATCCACCCGCCTCAGTGTCCCAAAGTGCTGGGATTACAGGCGTGAGCCACTGTGCCCTGCCAGTCCCTGGTTTTAAGGAGCCTATACTCAGGTTGGCAAAAGTTGTCAGGAAACAATCCACTGAAAAGGATATGGAAAAAGGGAGGTCACTAGCTAAGAGATCAGTGAGGAAGAGGTAGAATTTGAGCTGGGTCTTGTAGGATGGATGACACTCGAATTAATGTGGAAATGAAAAAAATAAAATGGACTTGGTCAAGTGGGGTCTAAATTAGCAAAGCATTGAACACTGGAACTTGAACTTATCTATCCTGACACTTGCCTAGCTAAAAGTTCCTTAAGAAGACACATAGCATTCTACAGCTTGGTCTTGATCACAATCAGCTAGGACAACAGTCCCCAACTTTTTTGGCACCACAGACCAGTTTCATGGAAGACAATCTTTCCTTGGGGGCAGGGGGTGGGGGATATAGTTTGGGGGTGAAAGTGTTCCATCTCAGATCATCAGGCATTAGATTCTCATAAGGAGCATGCAACCTAGATCCCTCACATGTACAATTCACAATAGGGTTCACGCTTCTGTGAGAATCTGATGCCCCGGCTGATCTACAGGAGGCAGAGCTCAGGCGGTAATGCTTGCTGGCCTGCTGCTCACCTTCTGCTGTGTGGACCAGTTCCTAACAGGCCACAGACCTGTACTGGTCTGCAGCCCAGGGCTGAAGACTCCTGAGCTAGGGGTCTCCCAGAGCAGTATTCACCATAGACCTGGCTAGGACTTATTTCTGCCCAGCCATCAAAGCTTCCTTACTCCCTTCTCGGAGGTTATTATACTTTTAGAGAATAGTGGATAGAACTATTTGTTCATTTAAAAAATTTTCTATTGTGGGAAATTTCAAACATATAAAAGTTGAGAAAATTATGAATGAACCTTTATATACAATCATCACTTAGCTTCAACAGTTAGAAACATCTGATCCATCTTGTTTCACCTATTATTCCTCTGTATTAGTCCATTTACATTGCTGTAAAAAATACCTGAGACTGGGTAATTTATAAAGAAAAGAAGTTTATTTTGGCCCCCAGTTTTGCAGGCTGTACAGGAAGTGTGCTGCCGGCATCTGCTTCTGGTGAGGGCCTCAGGAAGTTTACAATCATGGCAAGATAAAGAGGGAGTAGACATGTCACATAGTAAGACAGCGAGGAGGAAGGGCCAGGCTTCTTTTAAATAACCAGCTCCGCAGTGAACTAATAGAGTGAGAACTCAGACGTCACTAAGGGGATGTCACTAAGCCATTCATGAAGGATGCAACCCCATGATCTGACACCTCCCTCTAAGCCCCACCTCCAACACTGGGGATCACATTTCAACATGAGATTTGGAGAGGACAACCATCCGCAGTATCCCCCTCTCTCTCCAAAGGCAACAACAACAACAGTAACAAAACCCTGGATTCTTTTTTGGCAAATTCCAGGCAAAATATCATTTTGTTCATAAATACCTTTATGAGCATTTAAGGACCCTTTTAAAAAATCTCATCACTATATAGTGATGGTGAGCATTTTAGTATGTAAATATATGTAAAACATAAGGACTTTAAGAATAGAACCATAATATCATTATATTGTAAAAATAAGAAAATAATTATTTAATATCATCAAATATCCAGTGACTGTTCAAATTTTCCTAATCATCTTATAACTTTTTTAATTTTTAAAATTCTTTTTTTTTTTTTAATTTTTATTGGTCCACAGTAAGTGTATATATTTATGAGGTACATGAGATATTTTGATACAGGCATGCAATGGGTAATAATCACATCAGGGTAAATGGAATTTTACCCTGTTCTGTAATGTTTTGTCATTACTTTCTTTTTTTTTCTTTTTTCTTTTTTTTTTTTTTTTTTGAGACAAAGTCTCACTCTTGTCCCCCAGTCTGGAGTGCAGTGGTGCGATCTCGGCTCACTGCAACTTCCATCTCCTGGGTTCAAGCGATTTTCCTGCCTCAGCCTCCCGACTAGCTGGGATTACAGGTGCAAACCACTACACCCAGCTAATTTTTTTGTATTTTAAATAGAGACAAGGTCACTGTGTTGGCCAGGCTGGTCTTGAACTCCTGACCTCAGGTGATCCACCTGCCTTGGCCTCCGAGGCATGAGCCACTCTCCTTGGCTCTCAGGCGTGAGCCACCGCACCTGGCCGTCATTACTTTCAATGTCAAAAACCACAATTACTTTTGTAGCAACCTAATAATTTACATTCCCACCAACAGTGTATAAGGGTTCCTCTTTTGCATATCCTTGCCAGCATTCATTATTGCCTTTCTTGAGGATAGAAGCAATTTGAACTGGGGTTAGATGATATCTTATTGTAGTTTTGATTTGCATTTCTCTAATAATCAATGATGTTGATCACCTTTTAGAGACCGCTTGACCATGTCTTCTTTTGAGAAAAGTCCTATTCAGATCTTCAGCTCATTTTTAATTGATTAGATTTTTTCCTATAGAGTTGTTTGTGTTCCTTATATATTCTGGTTATTAATACTTTGTCAGACGGGTAGTTTGCAAACATTTTCTCCCACTCTGTGGGTTTCTCTTCACTTTGTTAGTTGTTTCCTTTGCTCTGCCAGAAACCTTTTAACTTGATGTAATCTCATTTGTCCATTTTTGCTCTGGTTGCCTGTGCTTTTTGGATATTACTCAAGAACTCTTTGTCCAGATCATTGTCCTGGAGAGTATCCTCAATGTTTTCTTTTAGTAGTTTCCATAGTTCTATGTTGGGAGCTGAAAAGGCCAAAGGGATCGTGACCAACTCAGCAATCCACTGGAGGCTATATGATCAAACAGAAAACCTTCTATCATGAATGCAGGATGTGGGCAAACTCACAGTGCGCCTGCTGCCGGAAGGTTTGCTGAGGGCGGTCACTCCCTGGCACCTGGCTCCCTGAGGTTATCTGCTGGGACATCTAGAGCCTATTGTTTGAGGAATACAGTCTTGCAAGCCTACTCTGGACCGAGCAGCTGACTTTTTCTGCCACCCCACTTCTCACTATCTCTTTTATCAATAAATATTAAGGGCTGTGGAAAGCCTGGGCCCTTGTCCACTAGAGTCAAGGTGTCCCCTGACCCCTTCTTCCAAACATACTTGTTTGTCTTTGTCTTTATTCCTGCATTCACTCTCTTTGTTCAGTCCACCAGGGATCGAGGTCGGTAGCAGTTTCAGGTCTTAAATTTTAAGAACACAGTTTCAGTGTTATAATATTCTTTATTTGTCTGTGTACTTACTGTTACCAGTGAGTTTCCTACCTTCAGATGATATCTTTTTTTTTTTTTTTCTTTTTTGAGACAGGGTTTCACTCCCATTGCCCAGGCTGGAGTGCAATGGTGCCATCTCGGCTCACTGCATCCTCTGCCTCCTGGGCTC